TTTCTTTTTTTCAATCACTGTCCAAGTTCCTGTTTCATTTATTAAGTTCTGTTCACTTTTATTATTTCAACACAATAAAAACTTTTCATTAAATTCTTTGTCATTCAGTATATTCATTGTAAAGTAAACAGATGTTTCTTTCTCTCTGTAGTTCCAATAAATCTAGAAACAATTAACTCGAATGAGTCTTGAGATTTTAAAATTATTTAATATGTATAAAGAAATCTTAAATATTATTAGACATGTTTGGTGTTTGATGAACAATGTAACTGAATGTGACCCAGATATGATCAGAGTATTGTTATACTTTATAAAAGTTTTCATGATGCTTTTGTGACAACATTAACTGAAAAAAGAATCTTTTAATGAAGCTGTGTTTTTAACAAATGTTTCTGAGAAAATCCCATTAACAGTATCTACATCACTAATAAGGTCTGTCAGTTGTAGTATCTAGTCAAATGAATCTTAATTGAACTACAAAGTTTGAGAAGTTTTAATCAAATTGGAATAGTGAAGTAGGATATCTTCAGCATTTTATATCACCATAGTATTAATAAATATATGTTTATTCTTACAGCACATTTCAACAACAAGGTTATTCAAAGAGCTTCACATTAAAGCATTAAAAGCATCATGAGTGAAGAACATTGATTTGAACATTTATTACTAAAACAATAAACAAGCTTTAATCTTAATAAACATTACAGTGTAGTTTGAGACTCCTAATAGTAAAATACAGTAATAATATGCAGAGATGCAGTAAATGGATCAACATCCCTGTCTGGTTCAATTAAAAGCTGCAGCCAACAGAAACGTCTTCAGTCTTAATTTGAAGCCGCTGAGAGTCTCAGCAGACCTGCAGCTTTCTGGGAGTTTGTTCCAGATGTGGAGCAGAAGAAGTGAAGCTGCTTCTCCATGTTTGGTTGTGACTCTGGGAACAGAGAGCAGAGCCAGAGGACCCGGGGGGTCGGGATGGTTCGTAACGTGGCAGCAGGTCACGCGTGTGTTTCTGCCCTGAACCGTTCAGTGACAAGTTATTAAAATCCTGTTGAAGCCTCTAATCCTTGATATATTCTTCAGGTGACAGTAGGGATCATAGTAGATGTGTGTGTCGTCTGCATAATAACGAATACACACTTTGTTTCTTTGCATAATGTGAGCAGGTGGAAGCATGTAGATATTGAAGCGGAGAGGCCCCAGGAAGGAACCTTGGGGAACTCCTCCTGTGTTTTAATCCGCTGTGATGTGTAATTATCTACAGACACAAAGTGCTCGCGGTTCTTCAAGCAGGATTCAAACCAGCGTGTCGAATCACGGGGCAATAAAGTCTGTGATAAATAAATAAACCAACCAACTGGAGGTGAATCGCTCTGCAACACACGCAAGACTTTTAGAACCATGAAGTGAAACGAGTGCGTCGACACGACTTAAAGACGCAAACACAGAAAAATGCGGCCTTTAGTCCGTCTCGTAATGTGTCACCGTTGACCTTATTGAACGCCGCACTGAGTTCCAGTAATACTAAGACTGTTATAAAAGCAGTGAGATCCAAATAAAACATAACTTTAGCGTTTTACTATGATTACAAGATCATTAAAACCATCCATTAAGGTTGGTTGGATAATACACTATTTGAATTTTATATTAATCAACTGAGTCTTGAGAGTTTATAATCATTGGAAATGTGTAATAAACCTAACTGAATGTGACCCAGATATGACCAACGTATTGTCATACTTCATTCCACCATTAAGTGAAAAAAAACTTTTTTAACAAGGCTGATTTTTAAAATGTATTAAGGAAAATCCTTTTAACAGAATCTACATAACTAACAGGGTCCATCAGTTATTATTTCCTGTCAAAATAACGTTAATTGAACAACAAAGTCTGAGATAAAGTAAATTGGGATTGTAAAGTAGGATATCTTCATTATTTTTTATCATATCAAATACAGTAATAATATGCAGAGATGCAGTAAATGGATCAACATCCCTGTCTGGTTCAATTAAGGCAAGGCAAGTTTCTTTGTATAGCGCTTTTCACACACAAGGCAGACTCAAAGTGCTTCACATTATAACATTTCATACAATAAAGTGAAATAAAATGCAGGAATTAAAAGACAATTAAAAACCGCAAATAAAATTATAAATTAAAATCTTATTTAAATTGTTTAATTAAAAGCAGAGGTTAAAAGTGCAATGTAGGTCAAATTTAGCAGAAGGCGAAGCTGAACATAAAGTTGTCAGTCTTGTTTTAAACGTGGTCAGAAATGGGGCAAGTCTTAAATCTTCAGGAAGTTTATTCCAGCTGTTTGTTGCGTAGTAACTAAATGATGCTTTCCCATGATTTGTATTTACTCTGGGAATCACTAACAGATGGTGTCAGAAGATCTTAGTGATCTTGAAGGCTTATGTAGTGGAAGCATATCAGTGATATACTTTGGCCCTAAACCATGTAGTGATTTATATGTGAGCAGTAGGATTTTGAGATTAATTCTCTGACATACTGGGAGCCAATGTAAGGATTTAAGAATTGGTGTAATGTGCTCACATTTTTTGGTCTTTGTTAGAACTCTAGCAGCAGCGTTCTGAACAAGCTGGAGCTGCCTGACAGTTTTTTTTGGAAGACCTGCAAGGAGACCATTACAATAGTCTAGCCTACTAGTTATAGAGGCATGTACAAGTGTTTCTAAGTCTTGAGCTGACATGAGCCCTCTAAGTCGTGCTACATTTTTGAGGTGGTAGTAGGCCGATTGTGTTACTGATTTGATGTGACTCTCCAAGTGTAAATCTGAATCCATAACAACCCCCAGATTTCTGGCTTTATTTGATGTTTTCAGGGACAGAGAGTGAAGGTGTTGGGTTACTTTAAACCTTTCTTTTTTAGCACCAAATACAATGATCTCAGTTTTGTTTTCATTTAGTTGTAGGAAATTTTGACACATCCAGTCTTTGATTTGCTCGATGCACTGGCACAGAAGATCTATGGGGCGATAGTCGTTTGGTGATAGCGCTACATAGATTTGGGTGTCATCAGCGTAGCAATGGTGGTCAATTTTATTTCTTTGCATGACTTGTCCTAGTGGGAGCATGTAGATGTTGAATAAAGTCGGCCCTGAGATCGAACCTTGGGGGACTCCACACGTTACCTCGGTTGTTTCTGATACGAAGTCACCAATGGAAACAAAATAGTTCCTGTCTTGTAGATATGACCTGAACCAGCTTAAGACTGTGCCTGAGACCCCCACCCAGTTTTCCAACCTGTCCAAAAGTATTGAGTGATCGAATTAAAAGCTGCAGCCAACAGAAACGTCTTCAGTCTTAATTTGAGGCCGCTGAGAGTCTCAGGAGACCTGCAGCTTTCTGGGGGTTTGTTCCAGATGTGGAGCAGAAGAAGTGAATCTGCTTCTCCATGTTTGGTTGTGACTCTGGGAACAGAGAGCAGAGCCAGAGGACCTGGGGGGTCGGGATGGTTCATTACATTACATTACAGGTAATTTTGCTGACGCTTTTATCCAAAGCGACTTACATTACATTATTAACCCATGGCTTTTTTACATTTTTGCCCGGGGAGCAATTAGGGGTTAGGTGTCTTGCTCAGGGACACTTCGACTTAAAGACATGTGGCAGCCGGGACTCAAACCACCAAGATTTCGGTTCCCGGCACACCCGCTCTACCCCCTGCGCCACGGCGCCAGAGATTAATATATAGTGATCATGTAAATTGTTTTAACGGATCTTTTCCCTTATTCAACTAGATTATCATTCATTCTATTTAAAACAATATTTCCTGACAAGAATCTTTAAAAACGATGAAGTGTCACTCAAACGTAAAGTGTCGGTGTTCCTGTGCGGCTGTTGAGTGGATCAGTTCCTCTCCAGCTGAGGAGGTTTTTGTACGACGTTGTTTCACTGTGTGAACGGGAAGCTGTAACCCTGCTGACAATAATAATCTCCTGCATCTTCAGTCAGAACTCCTCTGATGGTCAGAGTGAAGTCACTTCCAGATCCACTTCCACTGAAACGATCTGAGATCCCTGACTGACGTTCTGTAGCGTAATAAATCAAAAGTTTGGGAGATTCTTCTGGTTTCTGTAGGTACCAGTGAAGGTTGCTACCAACACCAGAACTGGATTTACACCTGATGGAGACAGTCTGTCCTGGAACAACAGACTGAGATCCAGGAGACTGAGTCAGCTGGATTTCTCCTGATGAACCTGGAAAACATGAAGAAGAGCAGAAGGGTTATTGAGACAAATCCAGTTTGGAGAAAGATGATCAACATCCAGACAGAAGCGTCTCATTTCTTCAACACGGAGAACAGGTGAAGAAGGTCCACGCTGCTTGTTCCACTGGTTCTCCATCACAGCAGAACGTCCCTGTGGAGAAGCAAAGCCTCCAGAAGAGGGTCTCACCCTGAACAAGGAGCCCCAGGCTGGTCAGCAGTAGACTCAGTGACATCATCATTGTGCTGCCGGCGTGTCAGTGTGCCTGAGGCCTGGACCGCCACTGATCAGCTCTCTTAAGGCGTGTGAGCAGAGAGGAAGGACACGTATGCAAACACACGGAGCCAGTGAGTCCTCGTCACATGACCGGGTTTCACTATTTAAATCACCTGTGATGTAACTTCTTAAGAAACACGTTAACATGACCATGAACTGAAGACTCTTCTTCAACCCTCCAAAGAACAGTTTGAGCTTTATTAAAGTTTCCACAAACACAATCATCACTCGTGTGAATTAAACAGTGAAACATTAATCAAGAGAAGTTTCCACCAGGATCTTCAGCTTGGTTTTATTCTGTAGAACAACATTTCTTCATGGTTCACGTGTCACAACTCTCCTCTGAGGTGATTTTCTTCTTGTCTCCAGTTTTCAGTTAATATTTCCTGTTTTATTTCGGTGGACTCGGCTCTTGTGTTTCCCCACTTTGTGATCGTGTGCTTCTTGCTGGTTGTGTCCCTCCTTTCATTGTGTGTTTCTTCGTGTCCTCTTCTCTCTGGGCCGGTTTGTTCTGTCTCTTTTAGAGTATCGGCCATAACGCTCTTCCCTCCCTACATGTGCTTTCCAGTCTACGTACCTATTGAACGCTGCCTTCAGGTAATCACCTCGTGCTTCAACTTCTCTGCGCATTCAGTCTTTTGTGTGTTGGTGCCGGTTTCATTGATAAAACACAGTAACAGAGAACATCTATTTCAATAAGTAGACGTTCTAGTAATGAACCAGAATGAGAAACATCTGCGTTTCCTTCACACAAGTTCTTTCAGTCGTGATCTGAGTATGAGACAGAAAGAAGAACAGCCGCCACCTGCAGAGACGCATGAACGCTGACGAGTCCTTTCATAGCTCCCAACACGTAGCATGACGCTAACATCTCATTCTGTATGAACCCAAAGACAGACGCACTAATGCAACCTGGTCGCACTTATTCCTCCAGATCGTCTCTTATCTGCAGCTTCACTAATCTGAGAGACCAGATCAAATGAGATTATTCATTCAACTGGATGATAAAAGTCTGTTTGCCTCGTTGAACGTTCATGATAATTCTCTCTCTGTTTCAGGTAATGTGGTTTAAATAAGTCTCACCTACTTCTTCATTCATAGCTGTCGCACAGCAAAATGTGTAAAAGCTACGTTGGTCCACAAGGGACAACGTAGTATTGTCGCCATTTGCCCCCAAAATGGTGACAATACTCTGTTTTATTCGGCCTATTCATTTACATTTCCTTGCAATTGGGTCACGTGACTATCAAGTTACCCTCAGCTAAAGAAAGAAAATGGCGGACTGTCGGTCTGTTATGTGTGATAAACACACTATTTTACATGAGCATAGAGGAGGTCAACACGCAGTAGGATCAAGTGAAAGCAGAGTGATACCATTTGGATCTGGTTTACAGACAGTTCAAAGATTGAGAAAAGACGAATATCATGTCAATATTACTGATTTCATCTTTACTTTTCTCAAAATCGACCTACTATCTCGAATACTACGTTTTCCCTTGTGGACCAACGTCCCTGTTACACATTTTGCTGTGAGACTGAGTTGGAACATATGGGGGAAAGAATCATTTGAATTCCATCAAGATCATTTTTGTCCTTGAACTCTTTGTAATAAATGTTTATTAGTGGCTACAGTAATAATAGTGAAACACTAAAAGCTCTTGATGAACGTGTACATTGTGTGTGTGTATGTGTGTGTGTGTGTGTCTCCAGTGAAGTGCGTCAGCTGTCAATTCAGTTTCTGTTCCTTCTGACTGAAGGAGGTTTTTGTACGACTCTTTTTCACTGTGTGAACACATACTGACTGTTGATTACATGAAACTCTGACAGTAGTAATGTGCTGCATCTTCAGCTGTGACTCCACTGATGCTCAGAGTGAAGGAAGATCCTGATCCACTGCCTGTAAAACGACCTGGAGTCTCTGATGCTCGAGTGGTAGCATCATAAATCAGCAGCTTAGGAGCTCCTCCGTCTCTCTGTTGGTACCAGGCTAAATAATTAGAGTTATAAACACTCTGACTGGTTGTACATGAGATGGAGACGGAGCCTCCAGCAGCAGAGCTCACTGCTCCAGGCTGAGTCACTGTGAACTGGCCTCTGGACTCTGAGGACACGGAGACAAAGACATAAAGCAGCGTCATGGTCGTGTCTCCTTCATTTCAGAGGGACGCACGTCTACAGAGGAGAGGACTTTGGTCCTCTGGACTTTACCTGTGAAGCAGAGGAGAGTCCAGACGAGGACGCAGATCAGAGTCATGTTTGTGATGAGGAGGATCTCTGTGTCTTCTGCTGTGATGAAGGACAGCTGTCCTCCAGGGTCCAACTCTCAGGACTATAAGGTCTCCCAGAGCACTGGAGCATGTGCTGCTGATGCAAAGTGTCTCTATGGAAATGCTGTGCCTGACTCCTCTGATGACGCTGGTGATCAATGGATCAATCAGCTGATCGCTCCATTGATCAGGAATGTGTCAGTGCTCGTTAACGAGTCTTTGATGCCGTTTGATGGAAAACTTTTCTTCCCGAATGTTTTATAAGATCCCCAAAATTTACTACAATGTAAATTAACATCAGAATGAGACAAAATTCATCAAAATGGATATTTTTTCATTCTTATAGCGCACAATAAATATACATCTATGATCATTTTCACTTTTTTGGATATTGGAAATGTGTAAAGAAACACTAAAATATTAATATACATTTTTGTAAAATGTTCTTTAGTAATCATTTATTTGTTTCTTATTAATTAAATATCACTCACAGATGTTAAACATTCATCAAATAACCGGTTGAATACACATTTACTTTGTGTTGATCAGTTTGATGGGTCGAGGTCTTGTACACACTGAATGTGTGTAGTGTGTTTGTGTGTCTGTCACAGAGTCGTGTGTCTCTACTCTCACAGGTTTTTGTACGGCGGTTCGATGCCTTCGTGTCACTGTGGATCACGTTTGGTGGAGGAACCAGACTGAGCGTTGGAAGTAAGTCAAACCTTTAATAATCTCATTGTTTCTGACTATAATGTGTTATATTTATATTTATATTCAACAGGCAAAACAGATAATAGATTCTTTCATATATTTTTGTATGTTTCTCTGATATTTGGCAATCAGAGAGAAACTTTCCATCAGTGAACTTTAAAACGTAATTTTTATGAAAAGTAAAAATATCTGTTAATTTATTTAAAGCTCTTTCTGATTTCATGCCTTAGTTTCTCCTCCTTTATACATTTATATTAGAGAAGCTTTACTAAACGTTTTGTTACAAACTCCTTTTAAATTATAACGTGTAAAAAACATGAACCTCGAGAAAAATATCAGAATGTTGGTTTTTGTTTTTTCATAATGAAAAATGATTCGATTATTTGAATAAATGTTTACGGACGAGTTAACGATCGACTTCATTCTCTCAAACGTCTTGAACTTTAAAACCATATTTTTTAAACTTTGCCTGAAATCCACATGAAGAAAGTTTGATTGCTGCTGGTTTATTTTCTCTATTAATTCACACTGGAAATCATTATTTTAGACCAGCGTTTTTGGACAGTTTTAACATTTGTCCTCATGTGGACGTTTCTTCTGTGGTTTCATGTCCTCCTGTCTGAGGATTGTCTCTGTGCTGATGTGCATGAGAGGCTTCTTGAAGGGAAGTGAAACATGGTGTGATTGAGTGACTGCTGGAGCAGAAGAAACATCTGGCAGAAACTCCTCAAAGGACTGAATCGGCCCTCTCACAGTGCAGGGGTCCCATGTCTGGTGCTTAATTGACAGCTGATCGTGTCTCCTAGGTGATGTCCGGCCCACCCTGACGGTGCTGCCCCCCTCCAGGGAGGAGCTGCAGCAGGGGACGGCCACGCTGGTGTGCCTGGCCGACAAGGGCTTCCCCTCCGACTGGAGTCTGGCCTGGAAGGTGGACGGCAGCAGCAGCAGCTGGGAGGAGAGCAGGAGCCCCGGGGTGCTGGGGGGGGGCGCCCTCTACAGCTGGAGCAGCACCCTGAGGCTCCCTGCAAACCAGTGGGCCAAGGTGCGCTCCGTGACCTGTGAGGCCACCCAGGGCTCCCAGACTGCGCTCTCAGAGACGCTGAGGAGAGACCAGTGTTCCCAGTGAGCTGAGCCACTGGGGCTCTGATACTGGTTCACTCTCATACTGGTTCAGTATGACTTGTAACACGTTCCCGTTCATTTCTTTTTTTTCAATCACTGTCTAAGTTCCTGTTTCATTTATTAAGTTCTGTTCACTTTTATTATTTCAACACAATAAAAACTTTTCATGAAATTCTTTGTCATTCAGTATATTCATTGTAAAGTAAACAGATGTTTCTCTCTCTCTAGTTCCAATAAATCTAGTCTTGAGATTTTAAAATTATTTAATAAGTATAAAGAAATCTTAAATATTATTAGACATTCTTGGCGTTTGATGAACAAACTCTCTCATGAGAATCAATGTAACTGAATGTGACCCAGATATGATCAGAGTATTGTTATACTTTATAAAAGTTTTCATGATGCTTTTGTGACATCATTAACTGAAAAAATAATCTTTTAATAAAGCTGTGTTTTTAACAAATGTTTCTAAGAAAATCCCCTTAACAGTATCTACATCACTAATAAGGTCTGTCAGTTGTAGTATCTAGTCAAATGAATCTTAATTGAACTACAAAGTTTGAGAAGTTTTAATCAACTTGGAATAGTGAAGTAGGAAATCTTCAGCATTTTATATCACCATAGTATTAATAAAAATAAGTTTATTCTTACAGCACATTTCAACAACAAGGTTATTCAAAGAGCTTCACATTAAAGCATTAAAAGCATCATGAGTGAAGAACATTGATTTGAACATTTATTACTAAAACAAGCTATAATCTGAATAAACATTACAGTGTAGTTTGAGACTCTAAATCTTAAAATACAGTAATAATATGCAGAGATGCAGTAAATGGATCAACATCCCTGTCTGGTTAAATTAAAAGCTGCAGCCAACAGAAACGTCTTCAGTCTTAATTTGAAGCCGCTGAGAGTCTCAGCAGACCTGCAGCTTTCTGGGGGTTTGTTCCAGATGTGGAGCAGAAGAAGTGAAGCTGCTTCTCCATGTTTGGTTGTGACTCTGGGAACAGAGAGCAGAGCCAAAGGACCTGGGGGGTCGGGATGGTTCGTAACGTGGCAGCAGGTCACGCGTGTGTTTTGGCCCTGAACCGTTCAGTGACAAGTTATTAAAATCCTGTTGAAGCCTCTAATGCTTGATATATTCTTCATGTGACAGTAGTGATCATGGTAGATGTGTGTGTCGTCTGCATAATAACGAATACACACTTCTTTGCATAATGTGAGCAGGTGGAAGCATTTAGATGTTGAACAGGAGAGGCCCCAGGAAGGAACCTTGGGGAACACTCATGTGTTTTAATCCGCTGTGATGTGTAATTATCTACAGACACAAAGTCCTCGTGGTTCTTAAAGTAGGATTCAAACCAGCGTCGTGTCGAGCCAGAGAGTCTCACCCAGACTCTCAGTCCGTCTCATAATGTGTCACCGTTGACCTTGTTGAACGCCGCACTGAGTTCCAGTAATACTAAGACTGTAATAAAAGCAGTGGGATCCAAATAAACTATAACAACCTATAACTATATAAGTTACTATATTATTATATAGCTATAATTAAACTATTTTATATCTATCAAATTCACAAATAAATACGAATCACAAAAATGATCCTTGAAAACATATAGATGTGAATACTGTGGTTCAGAGATTAATATATAGTGATCATGTAAATTGTATTAACGGATCTTTTCCCTTATTCAACTAGATTATCATTTATTCTATTTAAAACAACATTTCCTGACAAGAATCTTTAAAAACAATGAAGTGTCACTCAAACGTAAAGTGTTTGTGTTCCTGTGCGGCTGTTGAGTGGATCAGTTCCTCTCCAGCTGAGGAGGTTTTTGTACGACGTTGTTTCACTGTGTGAACGGGGAGCTGTTACTCTGCTGACAATAATAATCTCCTGCATCTTCAGTCAGAACTCCTCTGATGGTCAGAGTGAAGTCACTTCCAGATCCACTTCCACTGAAACGATCTGAGATCCCTGACTGACGACTTGAAGCGTAATTAATCAAAAGTTTGGGAGATTCTTCTGGTTTCTGTAGGTACCAGTGAAGGTAGGTACTAATGGCAGAACTGGCTTTACACCTGATGGAGACAGTCTGTCCTGGAAGAACAGACTGAGATCCAGGAGACTGAGTCAGCTGGATTTCTCCTGATGAACCTGGAAAACATGAAGAAGAGCAGAAGGGTTATTGAGACAAATCCAGTTTGGAGAAAGATGATCAACATCCAGAAAGAAGAGTCTCATTTCTTCAACACGGAGAACAGGTGAAGGAGGTCCACGCTGCTTGTTCCACTGGTTCTCCATCACAGCAGAACATCCCTGTGGAGAAGCAAAGCCTCCAGAAGAGGGTCTCACCCTGAACAAAGAGCCCCAGGCTGGTCAGCAGTAGACTCAGTGACATCATCATTGTGCTGCCGGCGTGCCAGTGTGCGTGAGGCCTGGACCGCCACTGATCAGCTCTCTTAAGGCGTGTGAGCAGAGAGGAAGGACACGTATGCAAACACACGGAGCCAGTGAGTCCTCGTCACATGACCGGGTTTCACTATTTAAATCACCTGTGATGTAACTTCTTAAGAAACACGTTAACATGACCATGAACTGAAGACTCTTCTTCAACCCTCCAAAGAACAGTTTGAGCTTTATTAAAGTTTCCACAAACACAATCATCACTCGTGTGAATTAAACAGTGAAACATTAATCAAGAGAAGTTTCCACCAGGATCTTCAGCTTGGTTTTATTCTGTAGAACAACATTTCTTCATGGTTCACGTGTCACACACAACTCTCCTCTGAGGGGATTTTCTTCTTGTCTCCAGTTTTCAGTTAATAGTTCCTGTTTTATTTCGGTGGACTCGGCTCTTGTGTTTCCCCACTTTGTGATCGTGTGCTTCTTGGTGGTAGTGTCCCTCCTTTCATTGTGTGTTTCTTCGTGTCCTCTTCTCTCTGGGCCGGTTTGTTCTGTCTCTTTTAGAGTATCGGCCATAACGCTCTTCCCTCCCTACATGTGCTTTCCAGTCTACGTAACTATTGAACGCTGCCTTCAGGTAATCACCTCGTGCTTCAACTTCTCTGTGCATTCAGTCTTTTGTGTGTTGGTGCCGGTTTCATTGATAAAACACGGTAACAGAGAACCTCTATTTCAATAAGTAGACGTTCCAGTAATGAACCAGAATGAGAAACATCTGCGTTTCCTTCACACAAGTTCTTTCAGTCGTGATCTGAGTATGAGACAGAAAGAAGAACAGCCGCCACCTGCAGAGACGCATGAACGCTGACGAGTCCTTTCATAGCTCCCAACACGTAGCATGACGCTAACATCTCATTCTGTATGAACCCAAAGACAGACGCACTAATGCAACCTGGTCGCACTTATTCCTCCAGATCGTCTCTTATCTGCAGCTTCACTAATCTGAGAGACCAGATCCAAATGAGATTATTCATTCAACTGGATGATAAAAGTCTGTTTGTCTCGTTGAACGTTGATGATAATTCTCTCTCTGTTTCAGGAATGGGGTTTAAATAAGTCTTCACCTACTTCTTCATTCATAGCTGTCTCACAGCAAAATGGTGAAAAAGCTACGTTGGTCCACAAGGGACAACGTAGTATTGTCGCCATTTGCCCCCAAATAGGTGACAATACTCCGTTTTATTCGGCCTATTCATTTACATTTCCTTGCAATTGGGTCACGTGACTATCAAGTTACCCTCAGCTAAAGAAAGAAAATGGCGGACTGTCGGTCTGTTATGTGTGATAAACACACTATTTTACATGAGCATAGAGGAGGTCAACACGCAGTAGGATCAAGTGAAAGCAGAGTGATACCATTTTTGGATCTGGTTTACAGACAGTTCAAAGATTGAGAAAAGACGAATATCATGTCAATATTACTGATTTCATCTTTACTTTTCTCAAAATCGACCTACTATCTCGAATACTACGTTTTCCCTTGTGGACCAACGTCCCTGTTACACATTTTGCTGTGAGACTGAGTTGGAACATATGGGGGAAAGAATCATTTGAATTCCATCAAGATCATTTTTGTCCTTGAACCTTTTTAATAAATGTTCATTAGTGGTTCCAGTAATAATAGTGAAACACTGAAAGCTCTTGATGGACGTGTACATAGTGTGTGTGTGTGTGTGTGTGTGTGTGTGTGTGTGTGTCTCCAGTGAAGTGCGTCAGCTGTCAGTTCAGTTTCTGTTCCTTCTGACTGAAGGAGGTTTTTGTACGACTCTTTTTCACTGTGTGAACACATACTGACTGTTGATTTCATGATAACTCTGACAGTAGTAAAGTGCTGCATCTTCAGCTGTGACTCCACTGATGCTCAGAGTGAAGGAAGATCCTGATCCACTGCCTGTAAAACGACCTGGAGTCTCTGATGCTCGAGCGGTAGCATAATAAATCAGCAGCTTAGGAGCTCCTCCGTCTCTCTGTTGGTACCAGGCTAAAAGATTAGAGTTATAAACACTCTGACTGGTTGTACATGAGATGGAGACGGAGCCTCCAGCAGCAGAGCTCACTGCTCCAGACTGAGTCACTGTGACCTGGCCTCTGGACTCTGAGGACACGGAGACAAAGACATAAAGCAGCGTCATGGTCGTGTCTCCTTCATTTCAGAGGGACGCACGTCCACAGAGGAGAGGACTTTGGTCCTCTGGACTTTACCTGTGAAGCAGAGGAGAGTCCAGACGAGGACGCAGATCAGAGTCATGTTTGTGATGAGGAGGATCTCTGTGTCTTCTGCTGTGATGAAGGACAGCTGTCCTCCAGGGTCCAACTCTCAGGACTATAAGGTCTCCCAGAGCACTGGAGCATGTGCTGCTGATGCAAAGTGTCTCTATGGAAATGCTGTGCCTGACTCCTCTGATGACGCTGGTGATCAATGGATCAATCAGCTGATCGCTCCATTGATCAGGAATGTGTCAGTGCTCGTTAACGAGTCTTTGATGCCGTTTGATGGAAAACTTTTCTTCTGGAATGTTTTATAAGATCCCCAAAATTTACTACAATGTAAATTAACATCACAATGAGACAAAATTCATCAAAATGGATATTTTTTCATTCTTATAGCGCACAATAAATATACATTTATGATCATTTTCACTTTTTGGGATATTGGAAATGTGTAAAGAAACACTAAAATATTAATATACATTTTTGTGAAATGTTCTTTAGTAATCATTTATTTGTTTTTTATTAATTAAATATCACTCACAGATGTTAAACATTCATCAAATAACCGGTTGAATACACATTTACTTTGTGTTGATCAGTTTGATGGGTCGAGGTCTTGTACACACTGAATGTGTGTAGTGTGTTTGTGTGTCTGTCACAGAGTCGTGTGTCTCTACTCTCACAGGTTTTTGTACGGCGGTTCGATGCCTTCGTGTCACTGTGGTGGACGTTTGGTGGAGGAACCAGACTGAGCGTTGGAAGTAAGTCAAACCTTTAATAATCTCATTGTTTCTGACTATAATGTGTTATATTTATATTTATATTCAACAGGCAAAACAGAAAATAGATGCTTTTATATATTTATGTATGTTTTTCAGATATTTTGCAATCAGAGAGAAACTTTCCATCAGTGAACTTTAAAACGTTATTTGTATGAAAAGTCAAAGTAAAATTATCTGTTTCTTTATTTAAATCTCTTTCTGATTTCATGCCTTAGTTTCTGCTCCTTTATACATTTATATTAGAGAAGCTCTACTAAACATTTTGTTACAAACTCCTTTCAACTTATAACGTGTAAAAAACATGAACCTCAAGAAAAATATCAGAATGTTGGTTTTTGTTAAAAAGTTTTTCAAATTGATCCGATTATTTGAATAAATGTTTACGGACGAGTTAACGATCGACTTCATTCTCTCAAACGTCTTGAACTTTAAAACCATATTTTTAAATTTTGCCTGAAATCCACATGAAGAAAGTTTGATTGCTGTTGGTTTATTTTCTCTATTAATTCACGCTTGAAGTCATTATTTTAGACCAACGTTTTTGGGCAGTTTTAACATTTGTCCTCATGTGGACGTTTCTTCTGTGGTTTCATGTCCTCCTGTCTGAGGATTGTCTCTGTGCTGATGTGCATGAGAGGCTTCTTGAAGGGAAGTGAAACATGGTGTGAGTGAGTGACTGCTGGAGCAGAAGAAACATCTGGCAGAAACTCCTCAAAGGACTGAATCGGCCCTCTCATAGTGAAGGGGTCCCATGTCTGGTGCTTGATTGACAGCTGATCGTGTCTCTTAGGTGATGTCCGGCCCACCCTGACGGTGCTGCCCCCCTCCAGGGAGGAGCTGCAGCAGGGGACGGCCACGCTGGTGTGCCTGGCCGACAAGGGCTTCCCCTCCGACTGGAGTCTGGCCTGGAAGGTGGACGGCAGCAGCAGCAGCTGGGAGGAGAGCAGGAGCCCCGGGGTGCTGGGGGGGGGCGCCCTCTACAGCTGGAGCAGCACCCTGAGGCTCCCTGCAAACCAGTGGGCCAAGGTGGGCTCCGTGACCTGTGAGGCCACCCAGGGCTCCCAGACTGCGCTCTCAGAGACGCTGAGGAGAGACCAGTGTTCCCAGTGAGCTGAGCCACTGGGGCTCTGATACTGGTTCACTCTCATACTGGTTCAGTATGACTTGTAACACGTTCCTGTTTATTTCTTTTCTTCAATCACTGTCCAAGTTCCTGTTTCATTTATTAAGTTCTGTTCACTTTTATTATTTCAACACAATAAAAACTTTTCATTAAATTCTTTGTCATTCAGTAAATTCATTGTAAAGTAAACAGATGTTTCTTTCTCTCTGTAGTTCCAATAAATCTAGAAACAATTAACTCGAATGAGTCTTGAGATTTTAAAATTATTTAATATGTATAAAGAAATCTTAAATATTATTAGACATGTTTGGTGTTTGATGAACAAACTCTCTGATAAGAATCAATGTAACTGAATGTGACCCAGATATGATCAGAGTATTGTTATACTTAATAAAAGTTTTCATGATGCTTTTGTGACATCATTAACTGAAAAAAGAATCTTTTAATGAAGCTGTGTTTTTAACAAATGTTTCTGAGAAAATCCCATTAACAGTATCTACATCACTAATAAGGTCTGTCAGTTGTAGTATCTAGTCAAATGAATCTTAATTGAACTACAAAGTTTGAGAAGTTTTAATCAAATTGGAATATTGAAGTAGGATATCTTCAGCATTTTATATCACCATAGTATTAATAAATATAAGTTTATTCTTACAGCACATTTCAACAACAAGGTTATTCAAAGAGCTTCACATTGAAGCATTAAAAGCATCATGAGTGAAGAACATTGATTTGAACATTTATTACTAAAACAATAAACAAGTTTTAATCTGAATAAACATTACAGTGTAGTTTGAGACTCTAAATCTTAAAATACAGTAATAATATGCAGAGATGCAGTAAATGGATCAACATCCCTGTCTGGTTCAATTAAAAGCTGCAGCCAACAGAAACGTCTTCAGTCTTAATTTGAAGCCGCTGAGAGTCTCAGCAGACCTGCAGCTTTCTGGGGGTTTGTTCCAGATGTGGAGCAGAAGAAGTGAAGCTGCTTCTCCATGTTTGGTTGTGACTCTGGGAACAGAGAGCAGAGCCAGAGGACCTGGGGGGTCGGGATGGTTCGTAAGGTGGCAGCAGGTCACGAGTGTGTTTTAGCCCTGAACAGCTCAGTGACAAGTTATTAAAATCTAGTTTGAGCCTCTAATCCTTGATATATTCTTCAGGTGACAGTAGGGATCATAGTAGATGTGTGTGTCGTCTGCATAATAACGATTGCACACTTTGTTTCTTTGCATAATGTGAGCAGGTGGAAGCATGTAGATGTTGAACAGGAGAGGCCCCAGGAAGGAACCTTGGGGAACACCTCATGTGTTTTACTCCGCTGTGATGTGTAATTATCTACAGACACAAAGTGCTCGCGGTTCTTCAAGCAGGATTCAAACCAGCGTCTTGGAAAAATGTGTCCGTGATGAAAAGCAGCAGTGTCGAATCACGGGGCAATAAAGTCTGTGATAAATAAATAAACCAAACAACTGGAGGTGAATCGCTCTGCAACACACGCAAGACTTTTAGAACCATGAAGTGAAACGAGTGCGTCGACACGACGTAAAGACGCAAACACAGAAAAATGCGCCGGCCTTTAGTCCGTCTCGTAATGTGTCACCGTTGACCTTATTGAACTCCGCACTGAGTTCCAGTAATACTAAGACTGTTATAAAAGCAGTGAGATCCAAATAAAACATAACTTTAGCGTTTTACTATGATTACAAGATCATTAAAACCATCCATTAAGGTTGGTTGGATAATACACTATTTGAATTTTATATTAATCACACCAATAATTAAATAGGAATTTAGGAGCCACATTTAAGTTTATGTCTATGTATTAAAATAACTACAGGGGAGTCGGGCGCTCCTATAAGTTGGTGTGAATGGCGCATAGTTGGGGGAGAAACGGGTTACGGCAGATACCGTCTTTGACTCGACCTCAGCCCTGTGACTACACTTGATGGTGATTGGCATCGTAAGACATCCAAACCAGTACAACTCAATTGTTGTAATTGCTCCTGGTTTTCTGTTCGGAGGCAAAGCCGCGAGTCAGACGTCTGGTCCCGATCTCCCGGCCTGGTTAAAGCGATAGGACGCATGAATAGGGACCAAAGAGAGCGAGTTTTAGCCGCAACGGGAATAACTCAAAAAAATCCTTAAAAACATAGAGGTGAATACTGTATTTCAGGGATTAATATCTAGTGATAATTATATTATTAGATATTTTCCCTTATTCAACTAGATTATCATTCGTTCTATTTAAAACAATATTTCCTGACAAAACAATGAAGTGTCACTCAAACGTAAAGTGTCTGTGTTCCTGTGCAGCTGTTGTGTGATCAGTTCCTCTCCAGCTGAGGAGGTTTTTGTATGACGTGACAAGTTATTCATATCCTGTTGAATTCTTTAATACTTGATATATTCTTCAGGTGACAGTAGGGATCATAGTAGATGTGTGTGTCGTCTGCATAATAACGAATACACACTTTGTTTCTTTGCATAATGTGAGCAGATGGAAGCATGTAGATGTTGAACAGGAGAGGCCCCAGGAAGGAACCATGGGGAACACCTCATGTGTTTTACTCCTCTGTGATGTGTAATTATCTACAGACACAAAGTGCTCACGGTTCTTCAAGTAGGATTCAAACCAGCGTCTTGTTGAGCCTGAGACTCACTGTTACGTGCCTTGTGTGTGTGTGTGTGTGTGTGTGTGTGTGTGTGTGTGTGTGTGTGATTTTCTTCAGGTGTCCTTGTGACGTCACTCCTGCAGCTGATCACCATGGGGTTAAACGGCTGTGCCAAGCCAGAGTGTTGGGCGTTGCTTCAGTGGAAGCCAGAGCGGAACCAGAGACGTGTTAGGTGCTGCCAAGAGGTGTATTAATATCAAACTCTAAACCTGGCGTTTTCAGCGTGATTGTTCTTGTGACCTGACTCTGACGACTTTTCAGCTAGATACGTTTGTGTCTGACCCGATTTTAGGTACATTTGATAGGTGTAGAACGAAGGATGTGCATGTGATAGCAGAATATTATGGTCTTTCTGTGTCCGCTTCCCTCCCAAAAGCTGAGCTATTGATGGTCTTGTTATCCAGGGAGTTCTCTGCACCCAGGAGCGGCCCTGATCAAGAGATGAGTGCACCTGATGTGAAAGAGCAGGCTGTTAATGTTACTCCGGTTGTTCAACATGAGGGAACCGAACGGCAGCCAGTCACCTGGCCGCCGTTTGAACCGATGTCGGTGGATTCATCCCCGGGGTCTAAGCTGGATGCCAGGTTAAGGGTGCGGGTAATTCACCTTCAGGTAGAGAGGGAGGCGAAGAGGAATTTTCAGCTCCGCAGAGAGTTGGAGTTGAAGTTTGAGGCAGAGACTGCTTTAAAGATGCGTCACATGGAAACACAGGGTGGTTTATGAGTTGCCCGTAACATTACCACTGCTGGGGCGCCTTCTCCCAGTTCTGTCACTTTTGATATGAGTAAGCACATTTTACTGGTGCCTGTTTTCCGTGAGTCGGGTACTTTGGTGCAATTGAGCGTATTGCTGCTGCTTTACATTGGCCTAAAGACGTGTGGGCGATCTTGTTGGAGAGTAAGGTTCAAGAGGCCTGCTCCTCTTTGTCTGTGGAGGTCTTAGAAAAGCACAGAGCCAGTCATATGTTGACTTTGCGCAGGAGAAAGGGATCCTTTTTGACAGGTGTGCAGTGTGTAAGGTTGCCGATCTGTCTTCATTGCGTGAGCTGATGTTGTTAGAAGAGTTTAAAAACTGCGTGCCTGACGCACTACTGTGTATTTAAACAAACAGAAAAGTTTCCTCGCTGCAGCCACACTGAGTTTACGCTCACGCATAAAGCAGTTTTTAATAAACGCGATACTTACTTAGACGTGAAGCCCCCCAACAATCTGTTTTCTGGAGAAATGTGTTTTTGTATGCGCTTTATGAACGTGCAGCTATAAGAAGGAAATAGTCTTGTTTCATCATTTTTTGGTAGATCAGATCAGAACAAAAGGCTGTAAAGGGATGTGAACAAATGGTGGAAAGACTCATTTGAATTCCATCAAGATCATTTTTGTCCTTGAACCCTTTTTAATAAATGTTCATTAGTGGTTACAGTAATAATAGTTAAACACTGAAAGCTCTTGATGGACGTGTACATTGTGTGTGTGTTTGTGTGTGTGTGTGTGTGTGTGTTTGTGTGTGTGTGTGTCTCCAGTGAAGTGCGTCAGCTGTCAGTTCAGTTTCTGTTCCTTCTGACTGAAGGAGGTTTTTGTACGACTCTTTTTCACTGTGTGAACACATACTGACTGTTGATGGAGTGAAGACTCTGACAGTAGTAATGTGCTGCATCTTCAGCTGTGACTCCACTGATGCTCAGAGTGAAGGAAGATCCTGATCCACTGCCTGTAAAACGACCTGGAGTCTCTGATGCTCGAGTGGTAGCATAATAAATCAGCAGCTTAGGAGCTCCTCCGTCTCTCTGTTGGTACCAGGCTAAATGATTAGAGCCATGAACACTCTGACTGGTTGTACATGAGATGGAGACGGAGCCTCCAGCAGCAGAGCTCACTGCTCCAGACTGAGTCACTGTGACCTGGCCTCTGGACTCTGAGGACACGGAGACAAAGACATAAAGCAGCGTCATGGTCGTGTCTCCTTCATTTCAGAGGGACGCACGTCCACAGAGGAGAGGACTTTGGTCCTCTGGACTTTACCTGTGAAGCAGAGGAGAGTCCAGACGAGGACGCAGATCAGAGTCATGTTTGTGATGAGGAGGATCTCTGTGTCTTCTGCTGTGATGAAGGACAGCTGTCCTCCAGGGTCCAACTCTCAGGACTATAAGGTCTCCCAGAGCACTGGAGCATGTGCTGCTGATGCAAAGTGTCTCTATGGAAATGCTGTGCCTGACTCCTCTGATGACGCTGGTGATCAATGGATCAATCAGCTGATCGCTCCATTGATCAGGAATGTGTCAGTGCTCGTTAACGAGTCTTTGATGCCGTTTGATGGAAAACTTTTCTTCCCGAATGTTTTATAAGATCCCCAAAATTTACTACAACGCAAATTAACATCAGAATGAGACAAAATTCATCAAAATGGATATTTTTTCATTCTTACAGCGCACAATAAATATACATTTATGATAATTTTCACATTTTTGGATATTGGAAATGTGTAAAGAAACACTAAAATATTAATATACATTTTTGTAAAATGTTCTTTAGTAATCATTTATTGTTTTTTATTAATTAAATATCACTCACAGATGTTAAACGTTCATCAAATAACCGGTTGAATACACATTTACTTTGTGTTGATCAGTTTGATGGGTCGAGGTCTTGTACACACTGAATGTGTGTAGTGTGTTTGTGTGTCTGTCACAGAGTCGTGTGTCTCTACTCTCACAGGTTTTTGTACGGCGGTTCGATGCCTTCGTGTCACTGTGGTGGACGTTTGGTGGAGGAACCAGACTGAGCGTTGGAAGTAAGTCAAACCTTTAATAATCTCATTGTTTCTGACTATAATGTGTTATATTTATATTTATATTCAACAGGAAAAACAGAAAATAGATGCTTTTATATATTTATGTATGTTTTTCAGATATTTTGCAATCCGAGAAAAACTTCATCAGTGAACTTTAAAACGTCATTTTTATGAAAAGTCAAAGTAAAAATATCTGTTTCTTTATTTAAATCTCTTTCTGATTTCATGCCTTAGTTTCTGCTCCTTTATACATTTATATTAGAGAAGCTCTACTAAACGTTTTGTTACAAACTCCTTTCAACTTATAACGTGTAAAAAACATGAACCTCAAGAAAAATATCAGAATGTTGGTTTTTGTTTTTTCATAATGAAAAATGATCCGATTATTTGAATAAATGTTTACGGACGAGTTAACGATCGACTTCATTCTCTCAAACGTCTTGAACTTTAAAACCGTATTTTTAAATTTTGCCTGAAATCCACATGAAGAAAGTTTGATTGCTGTTGGTTTATTTTCTCTATTAATTCACGCTTGAAGTCATTATTTTAGACCAACGTTTTTGGGCAGTTTTAACATTTGTCCTCATGTGGACGTTTCTTCTGTGGTTTCATGTCCTCCTGTCTGAGGATTGTCTCTGTGCTGATGTGCATGAGAGGCTTCTTGAAGGGAAGTGAAACATGGTGTGAGTGAGTGACTGCTGGAGCAGAAGAAACATCTGGCAGAAACTCCTCAAAGGCCTGAATCGGCCCTCTCACAGTGAAGGGGTCCCATGTCTGGTGCTTGATTGACAGCTGATCGTGTCTCCTAGGTGATGTCCAGCCCACCCTGACGGTGCTGCCCCCCTCCAGGGAGGAGCTGCAGCAGGGGACGGCCACGCTGGTGTGCCTGGCCGACAAGGGCTTCCCCTCCGACTGGAGTCTGGCCTGGAAGGTGGACGACAGCAGCAGCAGCTTTGAGGAGAGCAGGAGCCCCGGGGTGCTGGGGGGGGGCGCCCTCTACAGCTGGAGCAGCACCCTGAGGCTCTCTGCAGACCAGTGGGCCAAGGTGGGCTCCGTGACCTGTGAGGCCACCCAGGGCTCCCAGACTGCGCTCTCAGAGACGCTGAGGAGAGACCAGTGTTCCCAGTGAGCTGAGCCACTTGGGCTCTGATACTGGTTCACTCTCATACTGGTTCAGTCTGCCTGTAACTCTACATTTTCTGTTCATTTCTTGTTTTAATCACTGTTTAAGTTCCTGTTTCATTCAATAAGTTCTGTTCTTTTATTTTGTTCAACACAATAAATAACATTTCATCAAATTCATTGTCATCAGTATGTTATTGTAAAGTAGACGAAACCATCTCTAGTTCCAATAAATGCAGAAAAAGTTCTCAACTCAGTCTTTACATTTTCTATTATTGGAAACTGCAAGAAATACTAAAATATTAGGATTGTTATTGTAAAGTAAACAGTTGTTCCTCTTTCTTTAGTTGCGATACATCTAGAAACAGTTAACTCAACTGAGTCTTGAGAGTTTATAATCATTGGAAATGTGTAATAAACCTAACTGAATGTGACCCAGATATGACCAACGTATTGTCATACTTCATTCCACCATTAAGTGAAAAAAAACTTTTTTAACAAGGCTGATTTTTAAAACGTATTAAGGAAAATCCTTTTAACAGAATCTACATAACTAACAGGGTTCATCAGTTATTATTTCCTGTCAAAATAACGTTAATTGAACAACAAAGTTTGACATAAAGTAAATTGGGATTGTAAAGTAGGATATCTTCATTATTTTTTATCATATCAAATACAGTAATAATATGCAGAGATGCAGTAAATGGATCAACATCCCTGTCTGGTTCAATTAAGGCAAGGCAATTTTATTTGTATAGCGCTTTTCACACACAAGGCAGACTCAAAGTGCTTCACATTATAACATTTCATACAATAAAGTGAAATAAAATGCAGGAATTAAAAGACAATTAAAAACCGCAAATAAAATTATAAATTAAAATCTTATTTGAATTGTTTAATTAAAAGCAGAGGTTAAAAGTGCAATGTAGGTCAAATTTAGCAGAAGGCGAAGCTGAACATAAAGTTGTCAGTCTTGTTTTAAACGTGGTCAGAGTTGGGGCAAGTCTTAAATCTTCAGGAAGTTTATTCCAGCTGTTTGTTGCGTAGTAACTAAATGATGCTTTCCCATGATTTGTATTTACTCTGGGAATCACTAACAGATGGTGTCAGAAGATCTTAGTGATCTTGAAGGCTTATGTAGTGGAAGCATATCAGTGATATACTTTGGCCCTAAACCATGTAGTGATTTATATGTGAGCAGTAGGATTTTGAGATTAATTCTCTGACATACTGGGAGCCAATGTAAGGATTTAAGAATTGGTGTAATGTGCTCACATTTTTTGGTCTTTGTTAGAACTCTAGCAGCAGCGTTCTGAACAAGCTGGAGCTGCCTGACAGTTTTTTTTTGGAAGACCTGCAAGGAGACCATTACAATAGTCTAGCCTACTAGTTATAGAGGCATGTACAAGTGTTTCTGAGTCTTGAGCTGACATGAGCCCTCTAAGTCGTGCTACATTTTTGAGGTGGTAGTAGGTCAAGTCAAGTCAAGTCATTTTATTTTGTATAGCCCATAATCGCAAATTACAAATTTGCCTCAGAGGGCTTTACAGTCTGTACACATACAACATCCTCTGCCCCGAAACCCACCATCGGCACAGGAAAAACTCCCCAAAAAATGAAAAAACCCTTACAAGAGGGAAAAAAGGGAAGAAACCTTAGGGAGAACGTCAGAGGGGGGATCCCACTCCCGGGATGGACAGACTACAATGGATGCCATGTGTACAGAATGAACAATGTATAATACATGCAATTCCTGTGACAGAAATTATTCAAGTAATTGTGAGTAGTAAGCCAGGCGCACAGCAGGACCACTGCAGGGACCACCACCATCACATAGAACCACCATCCACAGAATCCTGTGGGGAGGGAGAGCACAGAGACTTTAGGAGAGGGTAATGTCGGTTTATGAGTACAGTAATATGATTAATATCTAAAATAATGATGATGATGGCAGCAGCAGGCGTCAGCATGGCCACGGTAGGTATCAGGACCAGGATCCCGAAGGAACCACGATCTACGGAGACCTGATAGGGAAGAAAGCACAAAAAAAAACTCCCGGAAAGAAGCTGAATTAGTCATGTGCATTAATAAAACTTGAATTATGGTAGAACGAGAGCTTGAGAGAGGAGCTCGGTGTGTCCTAAGAAGGTCCCCGGCATTCTAAGCCTATAGCAGCTTAACTAAAGGCTGGTCCGGACTAACCTGAGCCAGCCCTAACTATAGGCAGAATCAAAGAGGAACGTTTTAAGTTTTACTTTAAAAGAGCTGACCGAATCTGACCCCCGGACTGAAAGTGGAACCTGGTTCCACAAAAGAGGAGCTTGATAACTGAAGGCTCTGGCCCCCAGCCTACTTTTTAAAACCATAGGAACAACAAGTAACCAGCATCTATGGAGCGCAGTTGCCTTGTAGGGCAATACGGTGTTACAAGCTCTTGAAGATACAACGGTGCCTCACCAGCAAGTGCCTTGTAGGTGAGGAGAAGTACCTTAAAATCTATTCTTGATTTAACAGGGAGCCAGTGCAGAGAAGTTAATACAGGAGTGATATGATCCCTTTTCTTAGTTCTTGTTAATACACGTGCTGCAGCATTCTGAATCAACTGGAGTGGCTTAAGAGATTTACAAGAGCAGCCTGATAACAAAGAATTACAGTAGTCCAGTCTGGAAGTGACAAACGCATGAACTAATTTTTCTGCATCACTTTGAGACAGGAAGTTCCTGATTTTTGATATGTTACGTAGATGAAAATAGGCAGTCCTTGAAGTCTTCTTTATATGCGAGTTGAAGGTCATATCCTGGTCGAAGAGAACTCCCAGATTCCTGACGGTGCTGCTGGGTACCAGAGCAATTCCATCCATAAAAACTGTATCACGTGACAGTTGGCTTCGAAGGCGCTCTGGGCCTATCAGGATAACTTCCGTTTTTTCTGAGTTTAGCATCAGGAAGTTGCCGGTCATCCAAGTTTTGATGTCTCCAAGACATTCTTGAAGTCTTACTAACTGGTCCGTCTCTTCTGGCTTGATCGACAGATACAGTTGATTATCGTCTGCATAACAATGGAAGTTTATGCGGTGTTTCCTGATAAGATCACCCAAAGGATGCATATAAAGGGTAAATAAAATCGGTCCAAGTACAGAACCTTGTGGGACTCCGTGACCAACATTGGTGGTCTTTGAGGATTCACCGTTTACAAGCACAAACTGGGATCGGTCCGATAGGTAGGATTTAAACCAGCTGAGTGCAGTTCCTTTGATACCAATTAAATGTTCTAGTCTCTGCAACAGGATACAATGGTCTATGGTATCAAATGCGGCACTGAGGTCCAGCAAGACAAGAAAAGAGATGAGTCCTTGGTCCGATGCAAGTAAAAGATCATTCGTAATTTTCACCAGTGCTGTTTCTGTACTGTGATGCACTCGAAATCCTGACTGGAAATCCTCGAACAAAGCATTGTTTTGTAGAAAGTCACATAATTGATTTGCGACGGATTTCTCAAGGATCTTAGAGAGGAAGGGAAGATTAGAGATAGGTCTGTAGTTGGCCAACACCTCTGGAGCAAGAGTAGGTTTCTTAAGAAGAGGTTTAATTACAGCTACCTTGAAGGACTGTGGTACATGTCCTGTCAACAAAGACAGATTCATAATATCTTATTACGATGTGCTAACTAAAGGAAAAACTTCCTTAAGCAGTTTGGTCGGAATCGGATCCAAGAGACAAGTAGAAGATTTAGACTTTGAAAATAAAGAAGTCAGTTGATCAAGGTTGATGGAAGAGAAGGCATCCAAACAGGCATCAGGGCCCACTGCTGCATCCAAGGTTCCTACATCGGAGGACAGGTCGGTCTGTTACTGATTTGATGTGACTCTCCAAGTGTAAATCTGAATCCATAATAACCCCCAGATTTCTGTCTTTATTTGATGTTTTCAGGGACAGAGAGTGAAGGTGTTGGGTTACTTTAAACCTTTCTTTTTTAGCACCAAATACAATGATCTCAGTTTTGTCTTCATTTAGTTGTAGGAAATTTTGACACATCCAGTCTTTGATTTGCTCAATGCACTGGCACAGAAGATCTATGGGGCGATAGTCGTTTGGTGATAGCGCTACATAGATTTGGGTGTCATCAGCGTAGCAATGGTGGTCAATTTTATTTCTTTGCATGATTTGTCCTAGTGGGAGCATGTAGATGTTGAATAAAGTCGGCCCTGAGATCGAACCTTGGGGGACTCCACACGTTACCTCGGTTGTTTCTGATACGAAGTCACCAATGGAAACAAAATATTTCCTGTCTTGTAGATATGACCTGAACCAGCTTAAGACTGTGCCTGAGAGCCCCACCCAGTTTTCCAACCTGTCCAAAAGTATTGAGTGATCGAATTAAAAGCTGCAGCCAACAGAAACGTCTTCAGTCTT